TTTTTAGACTTCGAGATATTGATTTTTTTTCAACATATTTGTTTATATTTCCTCGATAAGTACATTTGAATTGAAAGTTTTTACTCTAAGTTTTAGGCGTTTTGGTGTCTTCTTAAAATGTGGTATAAAAGTTCCTACAGCGTCTTACACAAAATGGTGGCGGCAAAAAAATGTCAATTTAGAAAAAGTCGCAAATAACTAAATTCGATCAATTGTGTATAATACAAAAAGGAACGGCTAGATTTTACCCTATTTTCAATATGTTGTTATCAAAAGTATACTTAAGAATACCTACTATAGTTTTGGATCCAAAATGTTATACCCGGTGTTCATTTTGTGCCAGGGCCCCGGTGTAGATGGTAAATGCCGACTGCAAGCGGGGTTCAAGTTCAAATGCTGTTTCAATGGGCATTATTTATTGTTTTAAGTTTACCATAGGAATAGAGTTCACTAAAATTGATATTGTTGACTAATGAGAGAAAACGTTGGCAACAGTGCACACATGTGTCGTAAATTCCGAGCTTAAAACCGAAATTTTTGTGATTTAAAAAAGTTATTAAATATAAAAAGTTAGTTTGTGATAAGTTGAACTACCTCCAGCAGCAGGATAACAAAGAAATACCGATCAATTCTTCAAAATAAGCAGTAACTGCAAAGTGTTTGTTTACACAAATCCACAAATACCTTCAAAATATTTGGACAACGTTGCCAAATGGGATCCCAAAGCGATGAGTGTAACATATGCAACAAAGTTGTAATGGACAGCGAAGACGGGCTACTATGTGATAAATGCTTAACGTGGAAACATAGAGAGTGTCTGGGGATAAGTGTAAAAAACTACCAAAGAATATCGAAATCCAAGGAAGAATGGTTCTGTAATCAGTGCAAGAATCCTAGAAAAAATGATGCTACGGAACACAAACAAACCACTGCTCCGAGCAGTCCGAGCAATGTACGGTACACGTTAGCTGACGTGATGATCAAACTAAACGAAATGGATCAAAAATACAATAACCTATTTACAAAATATACTGAGCAAGTAAAAATAAATGAAGATTTAAAGAAGGAGTTACAAGTCATAAAGTCCCAACTTAATAAGAATGAACAAAAAGATTTAAACAATAACATTATAGTTCATGGCATTCCTTACAAAAAGGATGAGAAGCTTAATTACATAGTCAAGGAGCTTGGCCAAAAATTGCAGACAACTCTAACAAGTGAAGAATTTGGGGTTGTGAGACTGGGAAAACCAGAGGGAAAAACCAATCCAATTAAAATATCTTTTCAGAACTATGAAAAAAAAAACCAATTGCTAAAGTCTACAGAAAGAAGAAATTTAACCACCAGAGATCTTGGATTTATGGAAGCAAACAAGGTTTTTCTGAATCATGATCTTACCAAGAAGAACCTAGAATTGTTCAAGGAAGCACAAAAAATAAAGAAGGAAAACAACTACAGATACCTGTGGGTAAACAGGGGAAATATATTATTAAGGAAAACGGATAACAGCAAGATATTGCTAATACAGAATGAAGAGGATTTAAAAAACTAAGTGAAGGAAAACCTATGCTGAATATTGTATACATGAACATACAAAGTCTAAGGAATAAATTCGATGAGGTACAATGTCTGGTTAGTGAAAACTATTGTGATGTTCTTTTGTTGGTTGAAACGTGGCTTATGGAAGAGGAAGCATACCTTTATGAACTTGAGGGCTATGAAGCTCTACATTCATGTAGAAACAAAAGAGGGGGTGGTGCCTCTATGTACATAAAAATAGGTATTAACTACAAAGAACTATTCAAGTCTGAACCCGATAATGAAATGAGCTGGCTCAGTGCCTCAATAGATAATAATGGTTTGAAAATTAGTTTGATCTACCGACCACCATCATACGAGTATCGGCAGTTTGAGAATAACATAGAAACTATAATGGCAAAATATCCGAAACACCACATTATAGTGGGAGACACCAACATAAACATATTGGACAAAGATTCCACTGCTACTAAAAATTACATGAGTACAATTATGCTGAATAACTACAAATTAATAAACACAATCAGCTCAGAATGTGCCACCAGAGTAACAACAAACACTATCAGCCTGATTGATCATGTGTTAGCTAATCAGGCCTACA